TCGTGCCGTATAACTGTGTGTTCCCCGAAAAGTGTGAGAACCGTCATTTCACACCTCGAAACCGCTAAGTCTTTTTTTCGCCGTCAAGCCGCTCTAGCGGCGCTGCGCGCCGCAAAGAGAGCGCGGCGCGTGCAGAGGAGCACACACTGCACACGCACGGTGAAGGCCGTCTCACGAGTCGGCGATCTGCGCCCTATTCACAGAATAAAGTGTGAACGGCGTCTCTTCACACCTCGACACCGTGAACGCCGTCCGGCGCCTTCTCACCGGCCCAAGGGCGCTGCGCGCCGTGGTAACGGCGCCGAGCGTGCAGCGCAGCACACGTGCGACACGCCACTCGCACGGCGTCTGATAAAACGGCGCCTCGAGCCCTATCCGGGTCGAAAAGTGTGAGAACCGTCATTTCACACCTCGAAACCGCTAAGTCATTTTTTCGCCGTCAAGCCGCTCTATGTGAATATCGTCTCTTCACGCGTCGAAGCCGCTAAGTCTTTTTTTCGCCGTCAAGCCGCTCAGACGGCGCTGCGCGCCGCGTTGAGAGCGCGGAGCGTACAGAGGGGCACACGTTGCGTACGCAGCGCGAAGGCCGTCTCGTGAGTCGGCGAGCCGTAGAAAAGATATGTTTTCTTTTTTCCCCTTGTTTTTTCATCGGATGGCACAACGGCGGAGTAGTTGTCAGTCTCTTGGCACTTCTCGAACATGTTTTTGAGCCATCTCGCCGCCGTTGGCGGAGCTGAGTGCCGCCGCGCACACGGCAAATGTCGCACTCCGTGGGAAACGTCGGCGGCAACGCCGAAAATCTTTTTTGAAATAAAACTCACCAGACAACAACGCCGTGTAAATGCCAACGAACCGTTTTGCGCTCCTAACCAACAGCAACACACACCCCGGCCGGAACTACTCGTCGGCGGATGTGGACCAGAGCGACGGCCCATCCGGCCCTCATGGGATGCCCGGCTTTGGCGCCGGCGACGACGCGTACGGCCACCCCGAGGGCCTCTTAGCGACGGCAACCGTCGTGCCGGTGGCGGTGCCGGACCCGGTGGCGGGCGTCTTACGCTTGCTGCACGGGGTGGTGGTGGCGCCTTGTGGCAGCGGCCCCGGAGGCGCGGCCGGTCGAGCCGGCGCTGACTCCTGACAAATGCGCACAATCTCGCTTCCGTAAGTGTTCATCTTGTCCATCCCGATGCCGTTGACGAGCTTGAGCTCATCGAGGCTCGTCGGGCAGCGGTCCGCAATCTTCTGCAGCACGGAGTCGTGCACGACGTGGTAGGGCTGAACCCCATCGGCCTGCGCCCGTTTCGCCCTGAAGGAGCGGAGCGCTGAGTAGAGGTTGCCTCCGCTTGCATCGCCGGCAGCCGTCTGCGGAGGCGCCGCGGGCCTTGGAGGAGGAGGGGCCGAGTTCGACGCTGGCTGCCGGGCGCCGCAGTTAACGAGCTCCGCGTACGCAGCGTGCGAGGTGTCGTGCATGTGTCGGATGCGCGACCGGATCGCGCCGTTGGTTCGGCCGAATCGCTTGGCCAGCCTCGCCACGACGGCGTTGACCTCCTGAGTACCGGGAAGCTCGCCATCAGCCTGCAGCTGCACGTGGCAAAGTGCGTGCCAGACCGCCTTGCTGTCGTCGAGAGGCCACTGGCCGGGCATTGCTGTCAACCGTGGCCGATTGGTGGCGCGAAGGGCGGCTGTCAGCTTACCGGCGAGAGCGCGAAAGAGAAATCGGAGCAGGCTTCGAGGCAAGGAAAAATGAAAATTTATAAAGGAAACTTGTTAAGGAGAGAAAATTTTTTTCTTTGCTTTGGCACGACGCCGGCTGGCGCTGTACGAGTTGCTCTCGCTCGCGGAGGAGCGTCGCAGTGTGCACCCACGCAACGCCTTCGCACGTCCACACCACACTCTGCGTAGCCATGGCATTTCACTCCGTGTGCGTGCGACTCGCACTCGCTCTCTTGCCCTCGCCGCCGCCTTCGCCGCCGCCGCCTTCGCCTCCGTGACTTCGGATCGCTTCCCCATTTCTCGCACTGCCTCGCTCGCCACGTTCGACAACAGTGCACCAGCGCTCGCTTTCTCTCGCTCCCACTCACGCTTCGTGCTTCGCTACTAGGTTCTTCGCATCTACTTGGAGTGGATAGCGTCTGCCGCCTCTCGCTGCTCTGTCCGCTCTGCCACCTCGATGCCGCGGTTGCGACGCTCTGATGCCACTCCCTAGATCGCAGCAGCTCCATCGCTCGTTGCACCAAGGAGCGATGACGAGGCGGCAGCATCGCATCGGCGGTGCCAGCCGTTGTCACGCTCGGCCATCTCCACCTCTCTCACCGCCGCCTCAGTCTTCGCCACCACGCGATCGCCTCCGGCGAGCCCGCAAGCACGAAGCCGGCTCTCCTCGCACTCGCGTCGCTCTCCGCCCCGGAGGGATGGCCAGTTAGGTCTAGCCAAAGTTGTGTGCGGTTAGGGTTAGCGGTTGCCGGAGCCGCGCACTCAAGTTAGGGTTAAAGACGTAGTAACACGCCGCGAGCGAGGGTTAAGCTAGGGTTATACGTCCCCCGTCCACGGCTCGACGGAGGGCTCAAAAAGCGATAAAAAGGGCCCTCCCGCCAAAAAAATCGCGCGCTGCGCGCGCAGGAAGAGAGAGAGGGAGAGAGAGTTATTGCCGCCACCCGCACGTACAACTCTCGCCCGGGAGAAAGTTGACGAGCGGAGCGAGGCAACTTTCCCGGGGCGAGCGCCGCGCGCGCGCGGAAAACGCTGTTTTTGCCAAAACGGTGGAGGCCGCCCCGCGCTGCCGCCCCATCAAACCCGCACCGCCTGAAGCCCTCGGGAAGGCCCTCAAAACGTCGACGCGGGAGGGCGAAAATCGCCTCGCTTCAGAGCCCGCGCGAGGACGGACCCCACGCCGCCCCACGAGCGACCCGCGCAACCCGCGACCAACAGCCGTGCGGAGCATCGGCAGGAGACGTCCGCAGCCCCAAGGATCGTCCTCGTCCGATAAAACCATCGACCACCATAACCCTCCCCGCGCGCGCTGCGAATCTTCAGGCCCTCTGCTCGACTTTGGACGACCGACTTTATTTCGGGTGCTAAAGCAGCTCGCACGGGCCCGTCTCGCCGTCCCCGCCCCCGCCCGCCCCCGCGCGGCAGGCCCGGCGCCGCTGGCTTCCCCCGCGCACCTCACGGGGCGCCATGACACCGCCTGCCAGGCGGCCTGCAGACAGTGCGCACAGCAGCTGCTACATTCCTCGCCTCCCGACGGCCACGACGCCGCCCCACCGCCGAAGCTCGCAAAACCACGCACGGCCCCGTCCACACCGCTCACCGGACGCCCGCTCGCGCCGCCCGCGGACCCCTCTCCCGCCAAGCCCGCCCCCTCTCCTAGCCCCTCCCAGAAGCCGCCACACAGGCCTCGCCTCGCCTCGCACCAGCCCAAAAATGAAAAGGCGGAGTTCTGGGGCTCCCAGGCCAATCCCTATCGATTTGCGAAAAGGAAGTTTTGGGGACCGGAAAACGTATTTTTTCTTTATTTCCCCACAGCGGGCGGACCGGCCTCTCAGCTGAGACCAACAAGCGAATGCAGTCTCTCTGCCCCTCTCGCCGCTATGCCTCGTCCACGCTCCAGCATCTCCTCCGTGCATACCTCCGGCGCGGTGCGGCGCCCTACCGCTCGCCGGCGCGTCTGATTGCCGCCGCGCCTCTCGGCGCGCGCCGATTCCGCTCCGCCGCCGTCTTGGCTGCCGCGCCGCCTAGCCTGGGCTGGATACGCTCCAGATCTTCGTTAGATGCGCCCGGCACCCGACCACCTCCCGCCTCGCCCGGCGACATCTCGGCGCGCGGACACTGCTGCTCGCAAGGCACGCCGGCGGGTCGCGCGAGGCGGCCGGCGGGACGCTGCAGCGGCTGCACACTCTGGTGGTGGACGAGGACACGCAGGACTCGATCGAGGCGGCGTCATCGTCTACCGGTTCATGATCGAGGGCTCGGTCGAGGAGAAGATTATCGAGCGCGCCCAGCGCAAGCTCTACCTCGACGCCGCCGTCATCCAGCAGGGACGGCTGGCGGACCAGTCCAAGTCGCTCTCCAAGGACGAGATGCTCTCTATGATTCGCTTCGGCGCGGACGCGGTCTTCCACACCAAGGGAGGCGGCGAGCCGACCGACGAGGACATCGAGGCGCTGCTGCTGCGGGGCGAGGAGCGCACGCGCGCGGACGAGTCCAAGCTCAAGGACCAGGCAAACTCGCTGGCCAACTTCACGCTCGACGGGCAGGAGCGGTCGATGTACGAGCTGGACGGGCAGGACTGGTCCAAGGGGTCCGAGGCGGCGACGCAATGGTCTCTCTCGCTGCCGAAGCGGATCACAAAGCAAAACTACGATGAGACGGCCCACCAGCAGCGGGCGGGGCTGCGCATGCCGAAGCAGGTCCAGATCCACGACTTTCAGTTCTTTGACGCGCGGCGGCTGCACGCGCTCCGCGACCAGGAGGTTGCGCACTGGCAGTGGAAGCAGGACAGGGTGCTCGCGCGGCGCGCCCGCG